GGATAGGGTGTGCCCATAATGAAAATAGATTATGGAGTATAGAAAGTACATTAAAATTTGCTTTCTTCTGACAGCCCTTCAAAAGAGTTTTGTTCATCAGACTATTTTGCCACATAATGTTCATATATATACAATAAAAAATGTTTCATTAAAAAATATGTAAATATATTTTTTTTACATTCAAATAATTTCTATAAACAAGCTTTCATTTAGTGACTTGCATCATCTAATGCAGCAAGAAATTTGGTAATACTATTTATAGTCACTATTATCGTTATTACTGCAATGATATTCCTATAATCATTCTCAGTATCTATGCACATATTTTACTTCTCAAATCACAATTCCCAACACAATTTTTTGTATTTGTATTTGTCTACCTCAAAAAAAGAAAGAGAGAGAGAGAGAGAGAGAGAGAGAGAGTGAAAAAAAAAAAAAAAAAAAAATCCACTTTTGTGAGCTGTATGAGGCTGTACTTGCACAAGGGTTTGATCTGTAGGTGCAGAACTCTCTGCCACAAGTCTAAACATACTTATATTTTACTCTCCTCATATCACAATACACAGCACAATTTATTTTGTATAACAAAATCCCCCCCTACCCCCAAAAAAGAAACCAGATTTACTCACTGGAGCTGTATGAGGTTGTACTTGCACATGGATTTGATTTGCAAGCGCAGAATTCTCTGCTTCAAAACCAGTGTGATCTGTGGCTGACGGGGGAAGGCCACCCTGGGGTGCTTGCAAGGCCCGAAGATTTCCATTTTTTCCTAAGTAAGAAGTGTTATTTGTTTTTAATATGAAAAAAGTTAATATGCTTACTATTCCTTGAAGAATGTATAAAATATTTAGTATTTTTGGTTTTATTATTAACATAATTTGCCTTAATTTGCTCACTATTCTAAACCTAGAGCGGAAAAAAAAACATTATTTATTTTCACAGATAAAGCCACACTAATTTTATTTTATTATTTGTTGCTACTCAGCTTTTCTCAGAAAAAAATTGAAGCAATAGGACTTAAAAAAAAAAAAAAAAGTCTGGGGCAAATATATAGGGCTTACAGAACATAGAGTATAACAGGATTATTCACATTTTCAGCTTAACATAGCACGTTTTATGTAATAAGTCCTTTTCTTTGATCTATTACTACAATGTTGAATATAGAACAATGTTTTTGACTGAACTTACGTGTGTTGCATTTACTACTATTATTGTAATTCTTGTTTTGTATGATGTCAATCCAAAGTTTAATAAGCCAGTAACACTAACAAAGCAAACAACCTGTACCCAAAAACCAAAGTACCTGTACAACAACAACTGGCATTTTGTTGTCTTCTTTGGTACGCAAAACTTTCAGCACTACAACAAAAACATTGATTTGCTCTAGTGTCTACATGCTCTTTAAATTACTCTACAACTAAACTCTAAACGAAACTAAACTTAGAGTTTAAAACTAGCATGTGACTATAAAGAAGCTCTCTGATTGTTTTCCGGTAGCATGTGCCTCTGATAGTAGCAATATTTACAGGCTTGCAAAAGTAAAATCTGTAGTGGTTTCTGGCCCAGCCTACAGTTTTTTTTTTTCAAAATGCAAAAAATTGAAGCAGTAAATCTGAGAAACAACAAATTCAATTGGTGTGGCCAAAAACGTAACTCAATTTTCTTTTTACTTTACCTGAGCACTGATCACGTTTGTGGAGCACAAACAACTCCAGCGATGAAAACTGTTTTTTGCATCTCCCACACTGAAATACATCATCTTCGTCTAAAGGAACTCCTTCACCTGAAAAAGAATGAATAATTAATAAATACTTTTGCTGTAATAATTTAGAATAGCAATGCATCAAGTGATTCATAGTCTAGTCTTCATTATTCATGCTATGGGAAAAGTCCAGAAATGTTCAATAACTGAATTTTGCCATGATGGAGTTTAAAACGGTTCTTTATCTCATAATATATATCATTCAAAAAATGTATAGGCTCTATCTTGCCTATGTTGATCAACAGATCTTTATAGAAGATTATGGGCATCCTTTATTTTAACATTTTGTAAAAAAAAATTATATTCACTACTGTTTCAATATATAAACATAAATGAATTTTTATAAACACAGATAATTTACTCTGAAAATTATGTGTCAGATTGTAATTACTCAGAATAGAATAACAGCAGAGAAAATACGTAGAGTACACTATTCATAATAATTAACGATCTGCAGAATATAAAGGTATGGCAACATCCACTTATCAAAAGCTGTGAATCCTTGCTCATACAGGTAAGTTCAGCAATGGTGTGGAAATCATGTTCTGGCTAAAGCTTAAAAAGCAGAACTGCTGACCTTGACAATCAAATGTAAAATATGGAACTATGAACTCTCTCTTGCAGGATATATATGGAGTAGTTTTGTTGGCCTTTGCCATAGTGCAAACCCCAAAGGCTATAGCACTGGTTTCTATGTTCCTATTCTGAACAAATACCAATCACAAAAGAAAGTAAATTAGTAGCTATAGGTAAGTTGCTGGATTGGAAACACTTATTATCATCCATTGCAACATGATTGAAAAAGTCCAAAAGAAAACAGAAAAGCTAGCGAGGAATACGTAAAAAAAAAAGAAGGAAATATAGCAAAAAAGTTAACGAGCAGAAAATGAAGAATTAGAATACAAACAAATAAAGAAGGGGAAAAAAAATCTAGCCTCCTTAAAAAATGAAAAATACAACAATATTGACACTGTGTTTTGGCAAAGGCCAACTCACCATTACATATATACAAGAAAAAATCGTTATACAACAGTAAATTCCCAGACAGGTGAAAAGGCTTTATCTTGCAAGAATATACAAGGTTTTATGAATGGCTGAAGTAAACCTGCCAAAAACAAGTTTTGAGATAAATGGGTTTATAGTTTTAGTTTCTGACCATGAGTTTTACACCATATCATTAACTTTAATTCTCAGATCCTGAATTGTACATCAACCATGCCATTTCTTGCCATAAGATATAGCAGATTTCACTGAAAACGGGTGCAAAAATAACGTTTTTATTTAGTGCATTCAATATTCTCAATGCCTCATATATGTTGCAGCTTTTGCCTCTGCAGTTGGGTCTAGAGGCACAGAAGCCACTCTGTTTCCATGCAATGTATTCTAAATATTGAAAAAAAAAAAAAAAAAAAAAAAAAGATAAGCAAAACAACACTAGAATAAATGATATAAAAAAAGGGAAAAAAACACACCCCATTTACTTATACTCGTATTTGTGATGGAGGGAGAGAGCTGTGTTCCTTGGTGGCTTGTCGAGGTTACGGTGGGAGGTCCCCCAGATATTGTGACAGTGCTCTGGATCAAACCTGGGGTCTCAAGAAGTTGTTGGACTGTCAATCCTCCCGAGCCCTCGAGAGTTACTCCTGTGATGAAGTAATGGTTGAGTCTTTTAAATCTTTAAATTCAATCTTAACATCACCACACTGCATGCTAAATTTGATATGAGATGTCAGGTATATTTTCTGACAAATACAAATACATATATATATATATATATATATATATATATATATATATATATATATATATATATATATATATATATATATATATAATTTTTAAAAATATATATAGCATTACCAAAAATTAATATTACTTAAGATATTTAAGTTTAGAAAGTAATACATGATTGCTAGAACTCTAAAATTTTCAGTTAGTACACTGTAAGTATATAAACTGAAAATAGAAAATATGATTAAAAACAAAGCATAGAAAAAAATAGTAATTCTTAAGCAGATACAGTTTCATCTTAAAACTAAAAAATAAATAAACAAATAATTCTACAGTTGCAAAAATTGAGTGAAGACAATAAGAGGGTTTTAGGAAAGTTATTGAGTGAAGACAATAAGAGGGTTTTAGAGGCAGACAAAAAAAACAAAAAACACATGACATGACATTATAAGACCCTTTTCTAAAATCTAACAGTAATTTTTCCTATCAAAATCAAAAATCTAAAAATAGGCAAGTTTTCATATCAATAAAAATAAAGAATAAGATTTACTTTTACTCATGAATTTAAGAATATATAACATATAATTCATCCTACAATGGACAAATACACTTAAAACACAAACATGTTTTTCCCAAATATTTAAAAATAAAGTTTCATGAACTTTTTCTTGAACAAAACAACTTATTTTAGAATAACTTCTCACCTCAAAACATGTCATTTCTAAATTGTTTGTGTTCAAATAGATCCATAATCAAGAAGTGACTCTGCTTATCAATAATCAAGCAAACAAACAAAATACCTCATTTGCCTAACCCAATCTAAATCCCCTAGTGACTTTTATAATTCCAAATTACAAAAGATAATACATTTACAACATTTATCCAGTTTGCAACAAGTAACACAGGTATTATGCCAGCCATCATGTATTACTTAAAGAAAAGCCCAACAGCCCTGCCTTATATAACGGCATAACATTAAGACAAACCTAAAACTTGATAATAATATTGAGAGAGTCCTGAAAACCAAGAGCAACACCGAAAATCAAACTAATTTCTCGGCCCCCGGAAAGAAATCCGGCACCAGCGCCCTATCTCCTGCACCAAAACGGGGAGGTTTTGGCTTTTCCCGTCGCTGGCTTCACCCCTTATTTATTCCCTCAGGTCAAGCGAGGTCGCCCAAAACCCACTCCTTGGAAGGACCACAAGGCGTGCGTGTCACGACAGGAGCTCGCACCCCCCGGAAGGTCACGGAAATGGGAAGAAAAGGAAGATATTGCAGTTGTCTTGGCGCTATTGCGAAGGGAATGGAGAGGGGAGAGAGGGAGATGAGGTTATTTATCGGTCATTTCTTCTCTCTCAGGCACCATAGCGAGCCTTGCCACTTGTTGTCACTCTAAGTGTCGTGTGGCCTGGCCCTTGTCACGCCAGGAGGCCATAAATCATGCAAAAAAATCTAAATACCTGTGAGGGCGTCGAAGATGGAGTGGGACATGATGGCGGATGAGGTTGTGACGTCACGGAGATACGCGCTGTTTCTATATGACGTCACTGATGGCCAAGTAAATGGTGAACTTCCATTTTCCTTGAATCATTAGACGAAAGATATGGGCATTGCGTATTAATTATAGCAGTTTAATTGATGTTACCTAATGAAGGACCTCCGACAAGCTTAGATATTTCCCTACATAGAATAATAATCTGACCAATGATTGCAAAGCCCGTGACGTCATTGTTCATGGGGAGGAGCCAAGCTAGTGACGACATGCAAATGGAGGCGGGGCTTATCCGTGACATCACAATGGGCGGGGATTTGAAACTTTCCCAAACTTGTCTTCAGATGTGTGTTGGCAGTTTTAGGGTGCGGATGTGTCATGTGTTGGTGGGGCCTTTTGTAACTTGTGCAATGTCGCGGAGGAAACAAAGTAATCCTAAGCCGCTGAAAAGTAAGTGTTGGGTGTCCATGTCTTGCTTATTCGTGTCTGTTGTTCGTTAATAAATGATTATTTTCTATCCGCGGGAGGGAGGAGCCCTTCTAGAACCTAAATAAAAACACCATCACAATGTGGAGTTTACATGTGCGTCTTTTGTTCAATGCAGATATGTCTCTTTTGATTAGAAATATTTGCCTTTGTACTTTTGATTGATTGTTTTTTAAAGGAGTAAATTAGAAAGTAGCTTCTGTTGTGCTCAGTCACATGTCCACTTCATTACACCTGTTTCGGGAAACCATAAATAGTCACATTATTAGGCAAAGATTTTATCATTTATTGTTGAATGGCTTTTTATTGATTATTTCGTGCTTTGTCATGTCATTACGTTCGTTTTGTTTGCGTTCGTACTATTATGAAAGGAGGGAAAACAACCGCAAGGTTAAATATTGCACGCTTGTTATTTGTTACCCACCACACAATGTCAGGCGGTGTAAATAAAGTTCCAGTCACTTCCAATCCTTCATTGACAACATTTATGAATGGAGAGAGAGAGAGAGAGAGAGAGAGAGAGAGAGAGAGAGAGAGAGAGAGAGAGAGAGAGAGAGAGAGAGGAAGAGAGAGAGAGAGAGAGAGAGAGGGGGGAGGGGGTAAGAGAAAAGTCGAAAACGATTCGTAGAAGTCGGGAGTCAAAGGCAAGAAAAGAAACGAAACAAAAGATGCATGTCAAAGAGGGAGAAAATTAAAAGACAATCGGACAGACAGACGCAAAGACACCCAGCACACACACAAAGGTATAAGAAGCAGAAAACCTCCAGACAGACAGGTTGACATAGAGAGAGAGAGAGAGAGAGAGAGAGAGAGAGAGAGAGAGAGAGAGAGAGAGAGAGAGAGAGAGAGAGAGAGAGAGAGAGAGAGAGAGAGAGAGAGAGAGAGATATGAAGAGGGACGACTGTGTATCACGACCCGCTCTCCCCTACTGCCCACGAGGCCGCCCTTCCTTCCCTTATCAGCCCGTCCATCCGCCCCTTAGATCCTTATCTCAGGCAAGGGAAAGGGGCTGCCGATCGCTATCTGGCCGGGGGCTCGCTGGATAAGGTTGGCGCAGGCGACGGTGGTTGTGTAATGAGGGTGTGTTGTTGTTGTTGTTGTTTGTCTTATAATTTTGTTGGTCTGGGCAATGGATGAAGTTTTGTTTTTCTCGTTCGTGTTGCTTCTTGTTGCTGATGGTAGCTGTCTCGATTTCTCAGAATTCATATTTCATTCTACCTTTTTAATTTTCTCCATCATGGTCATTATCGTTTACGTTACAAATATAATCATCCCAATTTTTAATTACAATATCATCATAATCATTACAGTTGCTACAGTTATATCACCGGTAGCCGGTATATCATTACCAGTAGCATTTGTTCAAGTGTCATAATACATTAGTTATTGATATTGCCATGGGCACCACTCTCATTACCACGAATAATATTGGTAGTGGTATTATTATCATCACCATAATCATTATTACTATTATCATCATTAATAGTATTCTTATCATCATCATAATCATTGTTACTATTATTATCATTATCATGTCATTAATACTATTATCATCATCTTCCACATTGCTATTATCAATACTGTTGCTGTTGAAAAACTATAATTATTTACATATCATGAATATCAGTACTCCTACTACTGCTACTTTCAGTAATGGTATTGATAAGAATAATGATAATGATAATACCAGTGGTGATAATAATGAGATGATAATGATGATGAAATAATCATCATAATCATCATTATTATTATTTATATTATTATTAATATTGATATTATCATTATCATTACCATTGTCATTTAAGTCATCATCATAAGTATTATTATTGTTGTAATAATTATTATAATGATGATAATGATAGTAATTATTATAATGATAATAATATTTATTATTATTATGATTGATGGTTTCATCACCACCATCAGTATCATTATCATTAATAATATTACCATTACTATTACTATTATAAGTATAACAATAATAAAAATGAAAGCAAAGATGATAACAGTAAGAACAACAACAAGGATGATTATCTTTGTTGAAGTTCTTGTTATTATTAACCTAATTTTTTGTATTATTGATTTTTAATTGTGAGCATCATCTTCATCACCAACTTTACTGATATTAATTATGTTGTTACTATATCATTGATAGTAAATGATGATTATAATAACATTAGTGATGATACTGGACATAGGAGTAGTAATTATACCATTAAAAATACATATACATATGATAATGATAGTGATAATGGTAATAAAGGTAGCAATAATACTATTAATATTGATAATAATATTAATAACAATGATATGAATAATTATACTATTTATGATTATGATAAAGAAAATGATGATGATGGTATAGATAATGATAATAAGGATAATAATAATAGTATAATGATGGTAGCAATAGTATCATTATATTTGTCAATGTTATCATCATGATCCCTTTTTATCATCACCTTCATCATTTTCTCTTGATGTGATGCTTAATCTTGTTCCTGGTTTATTAATATAAGCTTCACTCTTTTTGTCATCATTAATTTGATATAGTTTAGTATTTAACCTCATTGTTTGGGAGATCTTAGCTTTGAATTAATATTTTCGTTTTATCTTGATTATTGTCATTATTAGCATGTTATTTTGTTCATTATTATTATTATTATTGTTGTTGTTGTTTTCTTCATATCTTTATTATTAGCATTTTTAATTTTTATTATTATCATTGTCATTATCATCATCATTGATATTGTTATTATTATTATTATTATTATTATTTATTTATTATTATTATTATTATTATTATTATTATTTTATTGTCATGTTGTTATTATCATTTTTTATCATTATTATTATATTATCATTATTATTATTATATTATTATTATTATTATTATTATTTTTATTATTATTATTATTATTATTATTACTATTACTATTATCATTATTTTTATAATCACCGCCATTCTTGGTCATAGTTTATTTATTATTGTTAAATTAGTATTGTTTCTGTAATTAGTGTCCTATTATTATTATTATTACCACAATTTTCCTGTTGTTAGTCCTACAGCTCATGTAATTTCCATTTTGTGATTATTTTATTATTTTTATTGCTGTTACTATTATCCTTACCTTTATGATTATCATTATAATTATAGTTTGTAGTTGTATCATTTGTTAATATTGTTAATATTGCTATTATTGTTGTTGTTTTTGCAATTATTTTCTATTATTTTATTGTTATTGCTATTATTAATGTTATTATTATCCTTATTAATATTGTGATTATTATCATTCGCACCATCATAACATAATTTTCATCATTATGATTTTTAATATTTATTTAATGGGATTATTGTTATTATCATTATTTTCAATTATTATTGTTGGTATTATTATCATCATTTACAGTGTTGTCATTATTGTTATTGTTTGTGTTTATCATCATCATCACCATCACTATCTTCATTGTCATTAATTTTCTACGACAGATCTTGCTATTAGTAGAATCTTCGTGGTTTTAGTCGGCATCATCAGTTGCAATAGTTGTAATAGCAATGTAATACAATAGTTGTAGCAGTATTATAAAATTAATTGTACGGCGTTCGGTACCGTAGCAACAACATAAATCACAATATCCACAGTCAAAATAACTGGTCTGACATTTTCCATTATATTGTTATTGCATTTGTTCTCATTATTACATCCATCCCTCGTTCTCATTATTACACCCATCCCTCGTTTCTCAAATTATCAGTTTTTAACTTATAACGTCGATTATTTATTACGTGTTTATTTGGCGGACATAATGTCAAGGTGTATTAAGCTACACTTAATCATCACTTATGGCGGCAACAAATTTGTTTTTATATCAACATGTTTAGTTATTTGCATATAAATAGCATTATTCACTATCGCTATCTTGTGTGATTAGATGCTAGAATTAATTATTGCAGAGGAAATTACATTCTGGCGGGTCTTTTTTTAGCCTGTTATGTTGGTGTATTTTGCCGCGGAATTCTCATTAGTGTATTTATATATCATGGATATCATGTCCAGCTTTAATTAGTTAGAATGAACAACAACGATAGTATTTCCAGCGAAGGGTTAGTTTCCCCGTGTGAATGTTGTTGAATTCCTCGTGTGTTTTGTCACTTGCGATTGTCTATACTCCCAAGAATGTTTTTTTAAGGCTGTCTCGCTTTTCAATCTGGCCTCATATATGTAAAGGGGATTTAAATATACTTCTATACTTCACAACAGGGCCCCTTATTTCCCTCAAAGCTATAACTTTCGCCTAATCAATGTCACCTTTAATGATAATCTGTTTCAAAAGCGAAATGCAGTAAATTCCCTATCTCCGAAAAAGTTTATGACCCAGCTGCCTCTATCCCTCGAAATAGAATTATACCGTTTCGTAATACTTTTTTTTCCTTTTTTTACATTTTCTGAGTGGATGTTGATATTTTTATGATAATGCCCAAGGGGGATTTATTGATTTGTTTACTAGTGTTAATGTTTATTTGAAA